GAGCCGCGGAGCCGGGTGCAGGTGCTGGGCGGCTCCAACTGGAGCCTGGTGTTGCAGGGCCAGTGGATGTTGGAGTTGTGAGTAACGGCCGCTTTCCCGCACGCCTCAGAGGCACAGTGCCGGGGACCGGAATGGGGGGTGGGGGGCAGTCCCCTCTGAGGGCGGCCGGCCTCAGCCCCCCGGCCCCCGGGGAGCCGGCATGGGCGGTAAGCGGTGGGGGGAGAGAGGGGCCGGGCGGTGCCGGCCTTCCCGCCCCGCGAAGGGACGTGCGGGAGCAGCCGCACACCTTCCCCCGGCCCGGGGCGGGGGGACGTCCGTGCAGGGACACCTAGTGCCACTGAAGCCCCTCTGCCACCAAGCGTTGTCGGCCCTGAGCCTGCAGGCACACGCTCACCTCATCTGGGGTGGTCTGGTAAAGGTAGCTTTCCTTCAGGCTCTGGTCTGGTGTGAGCACAGAGCACTGGAGGGCCCCAAGGTTAAACCGGGCATGTCTCGGTAAGCCGAGGTGTCATTGATTACATTTCAGTGGTGTTATTCAAGACAACTGCCTGCTGGGGAATAGCGTCAGGCACTGCACCTTGCACTGCTTACCCTTTGGGGTACTTTTCACTGGATCCTGTGCAAGCTAGGAAGGCTGAATTTGGTAGGTGATATTCAGCAGGTTTTTTTTTGTGTTGCATAATATCCTGGAACGCCCTCGCGTCCAGCTGCATTGCTCTAGAGTTCTTGTTCAAAGGAGATGCATCAGATTTCATTAACTTTTCAGTGTGGCTGTTGTTTTATCCTGATGACAGCTAGAGAGGTTTGCCTATTGTGGGCTAGAGTTTTAAGTACTTCTGTTAGTTAGAAGTGGTGTCATGGCTTCACTTGTGACATGATACAGTTCTTGAAATGCATGTGGCATTTTGTACTTGGAGGCTAGCTCACCTGCTTGTATTCAGAGGGGGGGAGAAGGACCTTGAAGGTTTTTTTAAGACAGCAGTTAAAAACAAAAAGTAGTTTAAGTAGGCTGTATGCTCACATGATATGTGTGTGCTGTACAGCTACAAAATAGGATTTTATTGTGGTCTGTGTGCTACTGCTCCATGGAAGTGTTTGAGTTTGAACAGTTTGAAGCAGACTGGGTAGCCTGTGAAACAGACCAGGTTGCCCATCAACATCTGAACTCATGCTCCCTCATAAATAGCTACCCACCTGCTTTAAGTTTTGTTTTAGTATTGAATTTATCTACAGTCTCTTATTAGGGGAAGGTGCTATCATTTCCTCTAGGGCTTTGATGCTCAGAGTCCTACTGGGCACCTGGTATTAATCAGGGAACAGATGGGAACAGTCCTGAAATATCTGATTGAGATACCCAGGGATGCCCACTGTTGTAGCGAAGGATTTGGGTTTGATTTTGAGTCTCTTTTTTCCCCTTATCATTTATGGTGTTCTAAAAGGTGGGGGAAGAGATGATCTTGGAGTAGGAGAAAATAAATTTATTTTTCAAGTTGAATTTTTTTCACTTCTGACATCCTAGTCGTATGTGGAAGCTATTGTATGAAAGTTACTGATTCATACACGAGTTGGTGAATCTTAAGGAGGAAAAAGGTCATTTATGGTGACTCAGAGTTTCTTATTTCTGAGATAAAATATTTAAATAATTAGTGATGTGTGCCCCCGAGGAACAAAGAAGAGAGGAACTGTCTGAAATCATAAGCGGTTAGGATAGCGAATAGTTAAAATCTTTTGTGCGTCTTTACTCCACTTGAAACTTTGCACTCTGGTTTGGAGTGACAGGTAACTGACAATTGCAATGGTGGCAAAGTTAGCTTTAGTGCGAGCTGAATACAGTACATGTTGCTACAGTGCTTAAATTAGACTTTATTTTATGTACAGTGTTTGTGTGAAAGATCCTTGGTTCTCGATTCTACTTTCTGTGGTACATTCTAGTGCTTTCTGCTTTTCTCATACGTGTGAAGGAACCTTTGTCTTTCTTGCAAACTCAATGCTGCTGTTCTTGAATTAGTGACAGTTTGAGATTCCCAACTGTGACTAAACAGGAGTTTGAGATCGAGAATTGATTTCTTATGATTCTTGCAGTTGTGTTCATGCTAATGGATTTTGGCTTCTACTGATTTTATCTGGTTTAGAGCTGGTGATCTGGACAGGACTCCTGCATTGTTAGTTCATTGATTCTTTCCGTGCTGTGTAATAGGTCTGTTGTTGAAAGAGTGACATATAGTTCATCAAAACCTTATTTGCTGGAAGAACTTTCTGTTAGTTTATAAGACCTTTGTTTTCCAAGCAGTTTTGTGGGGTTTTTTCCCCTAATGTAAATGTTGTTATAGGAACTCTGGAAAAAAATTTTGGTCACCTGCTCTAGATTACTGGTTTGAAGCCTTCTGCCCTGGTAGGAACCAGTACTACTATTTCTGTTTAAGGTCAGTTTTTCTATTTGTGAAAGTAGTGTAGGTGAATTACTGTATGCTACTGCTTTTTTGTTGTTCTCAGGTGCACAAATAGAGAAACTTAAGTCAGAAATTACTTGTATGCAGGATTTGTAGTGGAAATAGGATTTTTCTTCTTTCATCCCTCCTAGCTAAAGTGTGTGTACTTGGCTGTCTTTTTGTAAATATTCACTTATTCATAGCTGGCCAAATTGCAGGCACTGGAAGCCCTGCTGCATTTCATTGATAAAAATGTTCTGCGTAACTTTGTCTCTCTGAAAGATGTTGCAACACTTTTTGCTTACTGTTACTATCTCAGCACACAGATCCTCGCTGAAGTGCTGTGAGTGTGATGCTGACATGAACTGTTATAAAAGGTTTCCTTATTGACTTATGTCTAGTCTGTAGCCGCAAGATAATGATGCGTTAATATGAGGAATTTTCTTTTTGTCCTTATTTTTAATATTGTGCCTATTAGGAATAGAAAAAAAAAATATGGTCTGTTTATTTAAAAGTCCATTTTGCATTTGTAAACATAGCTTGTTCCAAGCTTCTATGATCTTAATTTAACATCCTCTTCTTTTTGAAGTAGATTAAAACAAACACACAAAAACCCCCACCAAAATAATAAACTTGTTGTCTTTATGCATCTGGTTACAAATGAAGCTATTTAATATTCCCTTGTTGCACTTGCCGTACTTTAGGTACTTGCCCATCTGGAAAATCTCTAGTTTAGTTCCCACACAGGGCGTTAAATATTTTGGTTCTCATTTCTTTCAGCACAGACTTAGTGCTGTGTGTACCTAAAAAAGAATGTCTTAATGTTCTATTTTAATTCTAGCCAGGTGAAAATCGCGATGATAGTGTAAGTAATAGTCATGTTTTCAAGACTATCTCATCATACCTATAGCATAGACTCATACTTTATTTTCTCATTATCATTTATTGTTAAACATTGCCCTACTATCTGGTAGGCCACATTATCACAAGGGTTCAGTCTTCCCACTAGCACTTTTTTCTGTAGTTTCAAGGGAGTGTGCTAAAAATCTAGCTGAATATTTTGCTGTTTACATGGTTTAATGCTTTTACAGAGATGATTGTAACAGATTTAAAGTTCAATAAAATTGCGAATTTTCTGTCTCTCATGGGAGTATAGTCTCTTATTTCCTCTTGATTTCTTAGTATCCAGGCTTTTTTTTGTCTTATTCTTAAAAAAAAAAAAAAAGCAACAAAACCACAAACACAAACCAAACAAAAATACCAAACCCACAAACAAAAAACAACCCACCTCAAAAAGCAGGGGGGAATGAAAATCAAGTTACCAAAACTCTTTTGATTCTGAAGCTTCTGCAGCCCTGCTGACTCAGTTCAGAGGAAGTGACCAAATTACCTATGGACTCTTTATTAAATAACTGAACGTGCAGCTGGTTACTGTGCCATGCATTGGCTCAACAGAAACTGAAATATCCTTGGCAGCAGATGCTTTACTACTATAGAAAGGGACAAAAACATCTAGAATGATGGAAGTTAAATCTGCTCAAGTTCTAGAAGATTTCACATAATTTTTAAGGGATTCATTGGCTTTACATTTTAAAAATCGGTTCTCCATCTTAAAAAAACCCAACAAATTGCTTGTGAATGGAAAGTTGTTGGGGTCTTTTTTGTAATTGCAGATAGCACTCTTATCCTTTTCTTGTTTTTTAAAATAGAGAGCTAAATATTTACTATATACCCTGCTTTGCTTCTCATCTTGTTCTTGGAAGTTTGAAATGCATTTCCTTACTGAGCTGTAGAAAAGTGGAAAGTGGCACTTGAAATGTTACCCAAGAGAATACAATTTGCTTGGCTGCTAGTGCAGCACAGTGGTATGTATTACTTTTCCCTTTTATTCAGGTATTATTGGAAAAGACATGCACATCAGATTGCATGTAGGTACAGCAGAATGGAAATCCATAAGGTTGAGCTTGCATGCTGAAACAACTTGCCTAGGACAGTGCCTTGGTGTATTGTCGCTTCAGCAAGCCCATCTGTGATTTAAGGCATTTGAGTGAAGATCAGGAGAAGAATCCAGGGAAGAAACCTTTGTTTTCTCTTTGAGATAGCTAGGGCTTCAGCAGTTTGTTTAAAAAACAAAACAAAACAAAAAAAAACCCCACAACCCAAAAACTTGTTTAACTGTTGTGGAGCACACGTTTTTGGGTTGCAAGGTCTTGCCTGTTTTGCAGGGGTTTTGGCACGCTGGAGGAAACTTCTTGTCAGCTTCCAGAGCCTGTACTGTTGTGATGCAGGTATTGGTAGATTACAGGGACTAACTTTTGTGTGTTTGGCTACCACCACCTGCTCAGTTGAAAAATAGACTAAAACCATATAGTTGAATTTCTGAAGCTTATCTTTTGTTGAAATTGCGACAATGCCTATTCTGCCTCAAGAGCTATTCATATTTAGGAAAAAGAACAAATCAAATGATAGTCTTAAGATAACACCCAAAGACATCAGCCACTGTCTTTTTTTTTTTTTTTTATGTCTATGAACTCTGTAGCAATAAGGCAAAACTAGGTAAAAGAATAAAAGTTACTTCATTCCAGTACTATTTTTACCATTCTACTAGGTACTGTCTCAACATTTGCACATCTAATTTTAATATTGCCCCCAATCTGAAATCCAGCAAATAGCTTGGTTTACTGTAAGTGATACCTTTTATAAAAGTTGTGTGTCTTGAATTGAGGAAAAACTGGACTAAACAGGGAAAATTTCTTCTTGCCTATTTTGCTGTTTTCTCTTCAACTAATCCTCTCATGCCTGCATATGTAAACTGTTTTTCTTTTGTTCCTAGATTCTTGCAACTTTGTGAAATTACCTTCAGAGCAAAATGTGGAATGGTATTTGAGGTTACACCTGTTCAACACTGATAGTTAATGGTAGTGAAAAAGCAGACGAGTCAGTTTCAGTCATTTGAAAATGAGTGAACTGGTGAATTCCTTAGTCAAGCAGTTACAGGAAGAGAGATTAGTGACTTGGAGTTGGAAACTGTGTGTCAGTAAATCTTATTAAAATCATTCTGTGTTTACTGATCAACTCTGAAGCGATACGACTGAATGGCATGTTCGTTCAACTGGTTTTAACTGAAGGGTTTTTTTGTGTTTTTTTTATTTATTATTTTTATTTATTGCAGCCATCAGTGAAGTTGCTGGTATTTGAAAGCCAAAGCTTTGTCTTTTATGCTTTAGATCAGGGATAGATGTAGACTTTGCTTTTGACTTTTTAAGAGCTTAAAATTTTGCTTTTGGATTGCTATCTTTATGCCCTCTGGAAAAGCTTTGGGTATTGTAATGGATTGTAACAGGAACTGGAGAACACCCGGCTACTTTGAAGTAGTGATTTAAGTTAATTGTTCTTGCAATGGACCTGACCAGTAGATAGTTGTTAGTTGTCTCATTTATGAAGGGTAAACAGTGCATGAGGATATTTCAGTTGTAAAACTTGGTGCTATGTAAGAAGTCTGGTAATGCCACAAATGAGGTGTATGATGAGACATGTGCGATACTTGCTTGCAGTGAATAACTTGGCAATGGGTAAATAGTAAGTATGTGGTGTTTTCAATCTGATTTCTAAATGGTGGAGATCAGTAAATTGTCTTTTAATGTGTAAGAGGCTACTAAAGCCTTTCTTTCCTTAACCAAGTGCCCAGCTCTTGATTTAAATTCCTGTGGACTTTGATTTTAAATTGGAAAGACCAGAATGCTGTTGGCACGCTTGTAGAGCATAGGGCACACTGCAAACAAGAACTTAACAGCTAAAGGTACCCCGTCATGCAAAGGGAGAAGCTAGAGAAGTAACAGCCCTAAATTTGGTGGTGTTGACGAGGTGCTAATTATATCCTGCTCTGTCTGTGGAGTATGGCAGAAGACATTTGGTTACATCTGCTTTTGTAAGTGACCTGGTCATGCATCTTGTGACTCAACGAGGAGTAATGAAGATTGGTTTCACAGCACACACGTTTTCCTGCTCCTGCACTTTTTTTTTTTTTTCGGGGGGAAGAGAAGAATGGTAGTTTTACCATGACTATTGCAGGAATACAAGGCGGCCACAGTTCTAAAGGATTCATTAAAAACCTACATTGAAATAAAGTACCTCTTTAAGCTTAAGTTCTTCAGGGTGCAAAAAGTTTTTTGAAACTTTTGATAGAGGTGACCTAAGTGTGCAGTATTTTACTCTGCTCTATCTTACTGAAAGAGAAAGTGTAAGAGGAGGTATTTTAAGACTGTGAGGGAGATGCAAAAAAGCTTTGACCATAGGATGCTTTCGTTTATTCAGGAGGTGCTCCTGAATTCTTAGTGCTTCAAATGATGCATAAAAAGTCAACGTTAAAGCTTCAGGACAGTGAGGATGTTGAAGTTAACAGCAGTGATAATTCTGCAAAAATCTGATGTATATTGCAAATTATCTCTTGTATATGTAGGGACAGGGTGTATTCCGGCTGGCAAAACAATGACCATGTAATTTCAGGAATGAAAAGCAGATATTTTAAGCCTGATTGTCTGTGCCAATGTTCAGCTGGAGTAGCTGGATCTAGTAGTGTTGTATGTGACTGTTGCCATCCCATACCCAAAATTGGTAATAAAAACAAGCCAGCAACTAAGGCTTTTTATGAGGTCCATGTTTATGTTCTGAGACTACCAAAGTGTGATATGTGGATATGGGTGGATTTTAATGCTGCTTTGAGCTAAATAAAATATTTGTGATCATATGAATATTAGCCATGTGTATTGAATATTCCATTTAATTTCATTTGGAAGAAACACTTATGAATGTAAAATGTAAATATAAATGCTGATAGGGCCCAAATTTCTGTTTCAAGATCAGATAGTACCTTAAACAGGCTAAAGGGTATATTAATCTTGAATATCTCATGGCACGAGTTTGATTCATCGAGAGAAGCTGGATTTAGAAAACATTTCAGCTTCTGTCTTTAATTTTAGAGCAACATGAGCAGCATTATCTGATGGATGTAGGCAGTTTCTTACTTATCAGTCAAGCTACTGTAATAAAATAATACTGTTTGTAAAGTACAGTATCTGTCAAACTATTATTAAAAGCCCTCCATAGGCCAGCAGCACAATGGAAACCAGTTCTGCATGCGAAACTTGTTTCCAGCATATTCTTAAAAGATACTGAGGGGCTTTTTCTTGGCAGGATAAGTTATACGTACATTTTTCAGATACTCTCGCACAGAATTATGTTGATTCCAAAAAACAAGGTATTGACTTTCATACTTAAAATCATAAATTTCTAATACAGTTAAATACAACATGTATTTTTAAATTGTATCCTTTTAACTTTCAAATTATAAGATTTCCTTTTTAAAATACTTATGTTTTGCCATAAGCACACAGAGTAAATTTGATTCTACCTCTTCTGTGAGAAATTACCTGGTTTAGGTTCAGTCTTATTAACATGAAACATTTGTGGGTCACTGGGAAGATCTCTGTCTGCAGCCGCTAAGAAAGTAAGCATTCCTGATCAGAACACAGCCAGACAATAAGGATTGCCACTCTTTAAGTCAGATAGTAGTACTGGCAGACAAACGGAAGGAGTAAGGGAGTTCCTTGTAGAGGTTCCTAGTTAGAGTCTAGTGGCTATGTGGGCTGTTAAGGATATCGGACTCTGCCCAATATTCTATTGTTGACAACGGATGAGGAGCACGGTAGCATTATCTGGAGGAGTTTGCCTCTAGACCCACTACTTTTGCTCCCTTTCATTTTAAAATATCAGAAATCTGCATATATACATTTCTACTTCCACTCCCTCACCCTACCCTCCCCCCTAATAAATCAGGTTAAACCATGTAAAGATGTTTGTGTTTTTTTCATTTGTAAAAGTTTAAGTCTGTGTATGGGTAATTGTCATGGCTCAGTTACATGGTATGCTTAGCTGTTCTGTGTTACCTTAGATGTGGAGCTTGCAATGGTCTGCCATATACGTAAGTTTGACACAGGCTTTGTGAACCAAGTTAGGGTAAAATACGTAAAGATGGCAAATGGGGTTTTATCAGTGTTTAAGCATTATCTGATGATATCCTTTCATATTAGCTGTTCTGTTTCCATGTTGATATTATCGATAGCAACTGCAGACTTGATTATTCCAATTGGTAGTATAGAAAACTCAGCTCTTGAAACCGGCTTTCTTATTTTTTTGAAATTAATTCTGAGAAAAAACAGGACTTGAGAAAGAAAATCAGTGTGAGCAGTAGGAATTTGATGTGCACTCTTTTTAAATCTCTAAAGAATGCTATCCAAAAGGGCATGCTTTGATACATTGAGTAGTAGATTAAGGCAAATGTAATTTCTAGAAGTTCTGAGGTGTGGGAAATCAATACAAAATGTTATGCTGAAGGCTACTGCATCAGAGGACAGCCTGGCTTCAATAATTCTGATAGCTGCCATGGAAATGGGTTTATTGCATATGTAAATAGAATAAATCACAAGTGGTGAGGGGTTTTGATATGAATTTCTCAAATCTGTGGAGATTTGGTTTTGTTTTAATAACATGAGGAGGAACACAGGGATTGATACAAAACTACTGATTATCATAGCATCATAGAATACCAGATTGGAAGGGACCCCAAGGATCATCTGGTCCAACCTTTCTTGGCAAAAGCACAGTCTAGACAAGATGGCCCGGCAATCTGACCAGCTGAATCTTAAAAGTGTCCAACGTTGGGGAAACCAGTAGATGTGATTAAGAAAAACTGTAGGTTTTTTTTCCTGTGTGATTGACGCGTTTGTATTTTCTCTGTACAGTAAATCAATTTGAATGTCTGTAAGTGTAAGAATATTAAAATATTTAACCTGTCTTCCCCCTTTAGCTATGCTCCTTGGTGTGCAGCTTGTCAGCAGATTGAATTGACATGGGAGAGTTTTGCAAAGGAAAGCGAACATCTGGGTATCACTGTGGGAAAGGTGGATGTCACTCAAGAACCAGGTATAATATGAAATCGACTGTTTTAATAAAAGGAACCGTTCAGTATAAGTACCACTTAGTATCTGGGAGTGTGCTTTATTTCACTGGAGTACCTGGGATACCAGCCAAGTCAGGTTTCTAAATCAAAATAACGTTATCCACATTTTGCTTCTCCATATAGTTCATATCTGTGAGCCTAAGTTTATAAACTCAATTTGAAGGATTAAAGAATTGGGGAGTGATCTGGCTTAATACTGTATTAAAAGGGACTTATTCTCTATTTTAATCTACTTCACTGAAAGCTCTTGTCTGTCTCATTCCACTCTCCCCAAAACTGTCTGCAGAAGAATCCAGTTCTGTAGCCTCCAGTTACTGAGAGGGTGTGGTAACATTACCACAGTGTGAGCCTGCTTTAATAAGTTCTTAACTGTTTCCATGATGGTGCTGGTTTATTGTCTTGTTTAATTGTAGTAGTGCTTTAAATTACAGATGTTATTGTCTTCTGTTGGTGATGCACATATGCAAGTGTGTTTACAAAAAGAGTTTTGGATGTGTGTTTGTGTAAGCGGTACCAATATTGTTTAAACCTCTGCATCTCTTGGGAATGTTCGTGCTTGTTTTGGTTTTGAGGGGATAAAAGATTTTATCAGCAGTATCAAAAGACTGACAGAGTTAGGAAGAGAAATAGAAATTATTAGAATAGAAAGGCTAAGACTCACTAATTTTTTTAATAATTTTTTTTAATGCCTTATAAAATGTGTGGAAAATATGTCCATTTTATTATTTGAAAACATGCCAAACAAGTTAGCTTTATCAAGTTAGCAGAAGGGAAATGACTTAAACTCTGGTTTCAGAGCAATTTAAGTTCACAAGAAAATACCAGCTATCCTAGTCGTTGTGTTTTGTTAGAAGTGTACAAAAACTCTCATGCTAAAAAGCTGTTGATGTGGGGCTCTCTTCTAGTGCATATACTAATCATCAACAGTTTATTAAACAGATGAGTTTGAATATTACAAACTTTTGCATAGATATAAATTTAGTCAGCTCCTCTGCACATTAACAAAGTAGTGGTTACTCTGGAGTTAAAGCTGCAAATGGGGATTCATTATAATCCCGACTTGTTACTTTCTCCCAATTAAACAGGGATTCTTTTGTTTATGTAGTATTCAGATAGAAGGATTTCAGTCTTGGTTAGAAAAAATGCACTTTCAGAAGTGATGCTGTACAAACAAAATACTTGATCTCAAAGGAATTATTCTTCCTGGTAAAAAAACTTGAATGGCAGTGTTGGGACTGGAAGGGATCAGGTACTTGATACTTTCATTTGGTCTAAATTTTTCTGACTGCTGAGTGATGCCAGATTCTTAAGACCTTAGATGTGACTTTTAACCAGAAGTTCCTGAAATATTTGAATTTCTAATGTTGCTGAGTGTCTTGACCTCTTGAGGATGTTTCACCTTCTGCAAGTCAAAGGACTGACCGCAAATGATGAATTTGTACCTGGGCATGCATAATATACCTACAATATCCAGTTCAGCACAAAGCATGAAAACTGTAGCCACTTCTAAAACTAATGAATACTCAAACTGGAAAACAAAGATTTATTCCATATTTGACCTTTGGTGCTGATGTAATTTTGAAGGTATATGAGTTCCTTTGGAAGCTTTCCCAAGTTATTGAGGTATTTTTACTATAGGCTTATGCTGCAGCCTTTTGGTTGGGGTGCTTAAGTGCTCTATCTCTTGTTTTTCCTTGCACAATGGTACCTTAATTAGCTTTGGTTATGTAACCCCTTCATCAAATTGGAAGTAGTCAAAATGCGTTAAATTAGGAGAAAACCACTAGATGAGTGCAGAGTTGCGTAAAATTGCACTTCCAAAACCTGCAGGAGAAAGTAGCCATTCATGGTACTTAATTACAGCAGATGCCCAAAGAATAAATCCACCAGAGCCTTAATGAATTTACAGCATATTTCAGTCACCTGATGTACTAGTCTTAAAGTGCTTATTCTTTCCTCATCTTTTCTGTTGAAACATTCAGTATTTCAAGAGCAAGTAAAGGAGATGCTTCTGAGTCTCAAAGTTCTGTATATTTGTGGTGCCTTTCTTAAGCTCCCAATCACAACATTTACCTTTGATTTAAAACGAGACTTCTTGGACCTTCTGTAATCTTCTTTGAGTAGTCATTTGATGAAAGTAGCTGTATTTTTAGATGGCATCTATATTCTCTGTATTTTGGGAGGATTTGGGCTGGTGTGCAAATACTGAAGGTTTTTTCCTATTCTTGATTAGCTGTTGACTTCATAATGGGTGTATGTCTGTTTTTAATTTGCAAACTAAGAGATGCTTAACTGCATTTCAAGTTAAACTATTAACCAGTTCAAGTTTGTGTTGTATGTGCACCAAAACAATTTAGTATCCGTTCTTATCTCTTTCTAGCTGGCTCACATCTGCTTTTATTGTTCTAAGGAGGTGCCTTAGATAAGCAACAAACCTCCAACTAAAGTTTTGGGGATGCTTAGATGCATTTTGGCAACACATTTTGTATTCTATAATTTACAGATTTCATTGTTCATTCTGAGACCATTGGTACTGGCTCTTAGATAGGCTACTCGTGAGAGAGATTTAAGCTAGCTATTTTGTTTTCTGTTTGCCTGACTAGCATTTGTAAGAACTTCGGAGAATCTTTAATTGTTCCTATGACTTTCTCAGCTCTTAAACTTATTATGTTGTTTATGGCTCTCCACCTAGTTTTTCTTGTGCAGCTGTGCTTTCTGCTTGATGAATTCTATTGTTACACTTGTGTTTTTGTTTACTTTGTAGCTGCCTGTGCTCGCACAGGTTTTGGCTGTTCTGTGAAGTTTTCCACAACCCTGCCTCTCATAGCAATAAAGGCAGAAAGCTGAAAAGTTGGAATGAAAATTACTTCCTTTTTGGAACTTTAAAGATGCTTGCATTTGGTTTGATTTAAACATCTTCCAAAAAAAAAACCACCCCAAAACCCAAACAACAAAACAACCTCACAACCCTTTTTGTCTATTCCATAAGGGAATTCACACTGGAAAAAACATTATTACTGAAACTTTTAAAAATACCTGGCTAGTTCAGTCTTTGTCTCTAAAGGCAGAAACTCTCTTGCTATGATACTTTTCTATGGCTAACTTCCTGGTGCCAGAAGACGTTTGCTTTTTTGGAAGCCAAACAAGGACTTAGTTTCCCCAAAGATTTTCACAGAACTTTATAAAAAGAAAAGTTAAATAACTGATTTATACTCTTTGCATTGGTACTTTATATGAATGGCAATTGCTGGCTAGAGGAATTTAGCCCTTACTAATGGAGTTAGGCTGCATGTCCAGGGGTTGATAATCTCTGAAGTCTGCTGTATTTTTTTTTTCCCCAAAATATACTGCATTAGTAGCACATTTTTCATTTCTGCAGTCTTTGTTTGATGTGTTGAATAATAAATAATATTACTAAGCACTAAGGTGAGTTCTTCCTCTCACTTGCAGGTTTTATAATTGTCAGGAGGTGTCAAGTAGCCCTGACTTTCCTCAGGTTTGGAAGCAGAGGAGAGTGATGTCTTCACCTGACAGCTTAGCTAGTTGAGTTGTACAGACAGCCTGTTTATGAGTTGTTTGGGACCTTTCTGCTTCACAGCTGACTCTCCGTACATTGGGAGATCTTCATTGGTGTACCTCATGCAGCAGTGTGGCTGGAAGCACTTGAACCTATTACTCTGTAGTAGTGCAAGACCAGAGAACTTCAAGCACCTTCTGCCCCACAAGCTGCTTTTTGATGATGTGATGCTAGTTTCTCTGTCCTATGAGTTGCATTGTCTAGGGAGATACTTGTAAAAAGATTATCTATTTCCTAGTCAATGAAACACCCACTTTCAGTGTGGGGATCAATTCCAGTCAGCCTCTTCAAGTCCTACTTCAACCTTATTTTGTCCTTTCTGCTGTCTTATGTCTGCTGCTCAAAATGCTGATACGACCAACCCTTTTGGATGGTGTGAAAAATGGTTAAATGATTCTCATGGCTTAAATGTGCAGTATTTTACAGAACAGAATGCTGAGGCATCCCAAGCTTTATTACGAATCTTTTGGAATACGAGTTGTATTTCCGTAGAGAGGAATGATGTATGGGAAGGGAAGGATAAGAACCTAGAAACATCCAAAACATTGTCTTGCTACAGTCAAGTTTATGAGACTGAGCCTTCCTAGAGGATATAAGAACAGACTGGTTGTGCAGTGTACGTGGATTATTTGGAAGAGGCAAAATGTGTGGCTCTTAAATAATTTGAAATCAGTTAGCAGATGAATTAAATTCAGGGGCCAGAGTTTGTAAGACATTGTTGTCATTGCTGTTGTTAGTGGCCCAACTTTCTAGATGAAACAAAGGTCATCTGGATAAGACTATGCACAGACACAAGCACACGGCATCCTGGAATATGGGTGCATTTGTGTCTCTTGGTTGGAGTGGCACACTGCTGGTCTTGTCAAAAACTTCAGCTGTGTGCAAATATTGGTTAGAGAAATCCATGTAGAAAAACGACCTTGCAGTAAACGTTCTTCAAGGTCAGCATTTTTCCTTAATTTGTCAACAGTATTTGGTATCTGTTGCTGTTTGTAGCATTTCTGAAGACGAACTGTTAACCTCTATTTAAAAAACAGTGGTTAAAGCTATGCAGTCAGCTGCTTTCTAGTCTACAAATACAGATCTGTAGATATGTATAGATAAGTCAGAATGCTGAGAAATTTCAGTTTTACTTAAGTGTTTGATGTGGCTTTTTCTTCCCTTTCTAGGTTTGAGTGGTCGTTTCTTTGTCACAACACTTCCTACGATTTACCAGTAAGTGTATCATACTAGAAAGTTGTCTGTTTCAGTACACTTCTTTTTTCCTGTCCTATTTGAACACTGGCATGGAAGATGTAATGGACAACTGGCTTATTTCACTTTTGTCAGTCTCTAAAACATTTCTCAGGAGCTCAATGCACTAAATGAACATAAAGTATGTGTGGAAGATTCCCCTACAAACAGTTTTGTACCTAGATAGAAGTGATGTTTTTTCAGTCTGGAGACAATATTTAATGGCATTTGTAAAAGGTGGTGCAAGTTTGCAGTATTGGCTTCTAGTAACCTGACCATATGTGAGCAGACATACTTGACCTCATATAAGTGTCGCTAGAATTTCTCATTTGAATAATTGACTGCATAGGTCGAATGTAAAACAGGACATAAATTTTGCACAGTTGTACTGCTTCTCTTACTGTTAGAATTCTTCATCTGTTGACTCGCACCAATATGTAGCTGTTGACTCCTACTTGTCACTTGTTTTAAACTGTAACTCTGAAATGCAGGTAAAAATGAAGGAATATTGACTTAATTTCAGTTCAGGTTATTGTTTAGAGCTTTGATTGTATTGATATAGTTCTTATCTGAGGCGTTTCCTTAGTTTAAGTGACTTTAGTAAGTTCCCCTATTATCAATACTGTTAAAAACAGATCAGGAAAGACATTTGCTGTATCTCTTCTCCAATAAAAAGGTGGCATCCTTTAAATATTGAACCCTTTATTGAGTCATGGTATTGTAAATCATGCATATATATGTACATATGCATATTTATAAGCACACTTTTAATTCTGAGTTGTGTCTAAAAATGGTTTAGTTGTTAACCTTGTGTGCTTTGTATTTGCTTTAGTGTGAGTATTTAACAAAAATAGCTGGTTTAATAAATGGCAAAAGCTCTTGCTATTTAAAAACTGAGACCTTCCGTCATGGATTACAGTTTTGAAACATATTGAAAATGCTTAGGTGTTCAACTTTCTGAGCAAGTCAAATCTATAATGTATACGGGTTTTTTTGTGTTTTGTTGTGTTTGTTGGTTTTGGTTTTTTTTACCACAGATACAATTGAACACCCGTCTGTGTTAATGCATGTTTCTGTGTTTTAGTGCAAACGATGGAGTATTTCGCAGATACCGAGGCTCACGGACATTGGAAGATCTTCAAGGTTATGTTTTAGAGAGAAAATGGAAAGCTGTGGAGCCTGTAGCAGGATGGAGGTCTCCATCTTCTATAATGTAACACTTTGTTTTTATTAACAAGAAACATGTTTTATAGCTCATTATTCATTAAGGGTGCTATGTTGACAGCTTAAAGACAAAAAGGCCTTTATTTCCTAGACGTCTAGGCTTTGCAGAAGCAATCTGTATTGACAGCCTGCTCTCCAGTTTCTCACCTTTAAAAGCAGTTTATATTCTGCATTCACTTTTGCTTGTGCCTGCTAAGGCGTGCTTACATCATCTTTGAAAATATATAAAGAAAAAAAGTACAGCTACTGAGCATTATGTAAGTGTCAGTTTCAGTTTCTGTTGAGTACTGGAATCAAATGCATGTTTATGTAGATTATTACTCCGTGACTTCTGGCTACTTGAGGCAGGCAGCCTTTAGCCTTAAGGATTTCTTGTTTATTTGTTTACAAGGAAGTCTGGTGTCCTCCCTTGGAATAGGAAACAATGTAGTGCTTATACAGTATATCAGAATTTGTTTTCAGAGCATTGAACTTGCTTTGAAATAGCATAAAATGCTTGCATGATGTAAAGGATGAACCAAAGATGTGAATGGACTGCACTTCATTTTGACTAAAGCTGTTATGTGTAAATTCATGCAAAGATCCAGTGGGTGTCCTTATCTTACATGTGAGAATGTGGAAGAGATATAGGATGTTTAGTAATGGGGAGAGTAGCTACAAGGGCTGCATGCTGCTGTGAGCCTGGGGAAAAGGCAGTCACAGCTGCATCAGATTTAAGCTGTGAAATTGCTTTTTCTTGATTATGCTCAAATGTCATCTTTCAAAGTCACTGTTTCAATGCTTTGCATTGAGCTGGCTTAAGTGAACGTAATACAGAGCAAATGTATTTATTTGCAGTAGCCTCCTTCTGGCAATTACTAGGGGCTGAATGGCATTGAAAGTTTATAGATAGCATCTTTTTCTGGTTTCTGGGCAGTTTTCTGTGTATCTCAGCTCTTAGAACCTGTTCCTTTCTTATCTTTGTTTTCTAGGATGCATGGTATGGCAGGGCTATTTCACCTCTCTGGATGGATCAGGGTAAGTAACTATGTGGTAGCGTTTTCCATTCCCCTCCATGCTTAGAATAATACTCTGTTTAGAAGTCAAAACCTAACTGAATATTTTTATTATCTTTTATAAGAGTTAAATTTTCCTTACGTTTCCTGTACATTGGATATATGATATCTTTGCACCATAAATTTTGTAGTACTAATAGTCTATGCCAAAAATGGCAGTTTGATTGTAAAGTTTATCATCAATACTGAAAATACTTACTGTTCTTCTTATTATCTTGGTATAGTTAAAATGTTCTGTCAAAGTGTGCTAACATGATAAAGGTTTTTTTTTTGAGAGCTGCTGCAAAAATTATAAACATCAGGAATTCATTTAGCATCCCAGGTTCTCTCACTTAATACTATTCTTAAAGATTATATCCAGGTTCATTTTCAGAGTTGTAAATCATGCTTTTCTGCAGTTCATTTGCATCTAGTGTATTGTACAGGAAAAAAGGGTAATGGTTTTATTCTTTAGTAAGAATTTCTGCATTTGGATTTCAAACTGTAAACACCATTCACATAGGAACACAACAAATTTGGACAGTAGAGTAATTGTCAGAAGTAAAGGAAAAATACTTAGTGTACGCTGAAGTATGCTTTGAGCCTAAAAGTATTCCAAGACGCTTTCATTTGGGAGCTATCAAAGTTTCTCCTGTAGCATGCAGATGCTGAGAATTTTCAGACCTCTCCAGTTCTCTTCAAATCTTCAGGTGTAGCCAAGATTGAGAAACTGTATTTGACTGTTACAAAAGATCTTAATATTGTAACATGTGCTACAAAAAATAAATGTAGTAGAGAGTTTGAACAGAGTACCTATCACTTCCAGTAAGCATCTAACTAACCCAGAATCAAACAAAACTTTCAGTTATTAGGTTTCCTGTGCAACCTATCTTTGATTCTTTATTACTCTGGGTAGTATTAAGTTTTTATAGCCTTCTGGCATTTCTCTTCTGTGGTTGCTGTGTAACGATGTTGTCTCTGTCTAGTTTCCTTCCTGAAAGATTAAATGCTCTGGGAAGAAACCTTCTCTAATTTGCTTTCCTCTTTGATGAATATTTCAGCCGTACATTTCCTCGCTCTTTTTGCTGTGCTGTCCTTGCATATGCTTTAATAAATGTGGGAAGCTCTTCTGACCAAAAAAAAAAAAAAAAAGACCCTGGAATTGCAATATTTAAACTTTTGTAAATGTTGATTGTGGTTTGTTTTCTAATGGATATACTCTGGGAAGAGATGCAATGTCATGATTTACTTCCTACCAGACTCTCTGACTCGATGTGATGCTTCGTTCAGTCAATTGAATTTGTAGGTTTGAATAACAGACTTCAGTTTCAAAGAAATCTCCATATTGTATTTGGATTATTCTTTAAATTTATAAGCGAAATCACTTAGTCTCTACTTAGAATGCATGGCTCCTTTTGAGAACTAAAGAGCTTGAGGAAGAACCTAATCGCTTGATTTTTAGTTAATGAATGAATTCCCAAATTTAAGTATGTATCTTGATCTTGTGCATTTTTTAAGTATCTACCACTCTGCTTTCAAATGTAATTATGGGGATAAAACTGTGCACGAGGCTTCATTTTTTCACTTGGTGGTGTGCTTGTGAAGTGGGTATAAAAGGACACTTGCTTTTAACCTGACTTGGTTGCTTTTTTTGGTTCTAAATTACCTTTTTAAAATAACCAGCTTCACAGACTTCTGTTGGTGCTGTGACTGTCATTATCGAGGATGCTTACTGTGTGTTCTCCTTCCTACAACAGAGACCATAAGAGCAAATGTACAGGTTCATGCCGTGAGTTCATCTGTCCCAATAGCCTGTCTCTGACAGTTGCCACCTTCTTACAGAATATAAGGATCAAGAATGTTGTGATATCTTCCTGTATGCCCCGAGCCTTCCTCATACGTTTATCCACCGTAAGATTACATATGGCATCCCTAATGCTGACTGCCTTAGGAAGAAATAATCGTGCACCCTTTGCTTAAAAGGCCTTTTAATACAAGCAGCTTAATAAAGAAAAACAAAATCAAAAAGAAATACAGTATAACATTTAAGGAGGACTAGGGCTTGAGAGGGAAGACTAGTATAAATACTGTTAAATGAAAGGTCTTAATTAGATATCAATTTATGTAATGGTGACAGCAGTATAAATCATAAGTGGTGTTAGGTATGAAGTTATTAAGTACCTTCTTCTTATTTACAGCAAATTCATAGCTACCTCACTGTCACTCTTGGAATTCATGTTTGGATTTCTTACGCAATCTTCTTCTTAGCTACCTTATTGATTGGCCTGTTCCTGGGTTTGGTAAGAAAGCACCTTTTTTTTTTTTTTTTTTTTCCCCTCTCAGTTACCTAGAGCTTTGCATTAACTTGTGAAAAAAAGAACAAACTTCACTGATAAGATATACTGAAGTGCCTTATTGTAATGATGTATCTCTTGTCCCTAATATCTAGTGATAGGATGTGTGGGAATGGTTCAGGGCTGCACCAGGGAAGGTTTGTACTGGACATGAGGAAGCGTTTCTTTACTGAGAGGGTAGTCGAGGTGATTGATGCCCCAAGCCTGTTGGTGTTTAAGAGGCATTTGGACAATGCCCTTAATTACATGCTTTAACTTGTGCTTAGCCCTGAATTGGTCAGGCAGTTGAACTAGATGATCGTTGTAGGTCCCTTCCGACTGAAATTCTATTGAAATTCTTAAGTATTCAGTACTGCAGATGCCCTCCCTAGTGTTGTTACCTACTTCTGGTAAAGGTTAAGACAGGTTTACGCTAAGCTAACTTTTTTATGAAATTCATGCTTCAATTTAGATTTGTAAAGTTCATCCACTGAACAAGTTATTTTTATATTGGCCTTTTGTATCTAAGACTTTTGTTCGTAGGGATTGGATGCGTGTGGTCAGAATTCTGTAAAAACTCCAACTTTCTAAAAACACAGGTTTTGTGAAGAGATTTTTATTAGCTGGAGTGGGATTGTATCTGTGGGAGTTAGCAATGTACATATGCCGCTGCATTGTTACTCAAAATGAAAGGATGCAAATATTTTTTGAAAGGCTTTGAAGATTTGGGGGTTTAATAGATTTACTCTATTCCAGGGCATAGCGTTGTAGTTATAGTTTGGTTTTAATAAAATCTTACTTCACTTCTTTCTCCCCCATGATCTTTTGGTTTGAGTTCTCTTAGTAATTGAAAAATCTGACCTCTCTTGTTACTAACCAGAACTGGTGCATTCATATATTGATCTCCAAAACATTGGGAAGCTTATTCAAACAAACCTGTTAGCTATGTATGTGAATGTTAAGGACCATATCCTGAGCCCTAAGTTGTTTTGTCAGTGGAAACAGTTCACAGTTGCTTTACCTGTGGAGCTGGAATTATTTCCTCTCAGAATATTTGAATCATGTGGCTCTGTGACCTCTCCAATATCAAAGTTAAATGCGAAACTGAGCTGGAAAGGAGATATAGATGGGAATAGAAGTTGTTGCAACCTAGTTGCTTGGTCCACGAACACGTTCTACAGCTGCAAAGACAGTTTAAAACAGTTGTGCTGATAACTGGTTTAACTAGCTGCTGAATTGCTATTCCACATAGGAAGTGTAAAGGCTGTTTCTGGCACTTAGTGCTCTGCCCTTCAGCCCAGATATTAGTGTTATCGAAATAAAGCAAAATTGCCTGAGTATGTTTCTCAGTAGTACAGGGAAGTGATTTCAAATCAGTGTGTGTGTACTTAGGCAAAACCACATTTTTATACATAAAACGTGTATTTTGAATTGGTATAGATGAGCAAATGTCTTTCATTATACAACTTAAACAGCTGCATTTTTCTGGATGGTAGATTTTCATCACCAAATGAGTGCAAATCAAGTTAGTGTAACTAGGAGCAAATGAATATCATGATTTAAAAAAAAATATTCCTTCTTGCTCTTTCACTAAAAAAAAAAACCAACCTGAAAAAATGTAAAGTTAATCTGTCAGCTTTTTCTAAAAAGCTTTTCAGTGATTGAAATGTATTTCTTGAACATGGTATCATCTGTCTCTTTTCTTTCCTTTGCATTATTCTTAGCACATGACAATGAGACACAAATATCTTCCCTGCATTTGATTGTGTGCATTCTACACTGGGCTCCTTTTAAATAACAAAAAAAAAAAAAAACCACATAAAAGACAAAATCAAGTACAAAAGGTTGAAGTACACATTGTGTATTGGGGAGTCAGGGGTAGGAATTGAATAAGATCCCAAAATATAGAAAATCTTGACCAAGAAGGTTTCATAAGTTTTAAATAATAATTCCTCAACTGTGTTCCAGGCCTCTCTTAAGATGCAAGCCGTTTCAATACTGAATAAATTTAGGGAAGTAGGAGGCAGAAAATTTGGAGTAGAAAGCAGAGAATGTTAGTTGGTATACACCGAGAACACACTTTTCAGTGCTTTTATTTAGCGCCTCAGGACAGCTCTTATCTCCAAGCAAAATAATATCATTTTCTAAATTTTATTATATATCTATCTAAAAAGGATGAGTAGGAAAATACTTAATAGCACAGGGGCTGTTGGGATAGTTTGCTAATAAATGCCTTTTTTTTTTTTTCATTTACGTAGATACTGGTTTTGATTTCAGACTGCCTTTGCCCATCCAAGTCAAGATACAGAGCTGAAACACCTGGTAAGAATTCTTAAGTGGGTGAGACACTGTAAGTTTAAATGTGCACTTGTAGGAGGGAGAACTTGTGAACCAATGTCAAGAAGTTCTTAGATGTCAAGAAGTTAGATGTGAACCAATAATCCAGGTATTCATTTAGTCACACTGGCAAGGATTGATATGTTGGCCTCTACAATATCAATGTCAAAGAACCCACCTGGAGAATAGCAAAGCAGACCAAAAAAAAACCCCAAAAACCAACCCAACAGTAATCTGTTCTAGCTTCCACAACTATGAAGAGGCTAACTGCATTCAAAATGAGGAAGTCTTGAAGAAAGATACTGGGGTTTGTGTATTTTATGCAAGTGCATATTCACTAGACCTGTTGCTTAAATATAGAAAGGAATTTGCTTTGGCAGGATACTTCCAAATCCTATATACACTCTGTATATTGCATTAGGAGATGCAACATTCTGAACCTGAAAAATTCTCTACGTAATTTGTGGTTGGGGAAAGGAGGACATAGAGGGAATCAAATCAATCTAGAGACTGCAGGTGTGGGGATGGGGAAAGGTGTTGCATCTCCTTCCAATAAAAGAAGAAAACGTGCCTCTCTTATCCTTGGTGAAAAGGCTTCTGAATAGTATTCTGCTCCCTATGAATTATAGGAGGCAAAAACTTGCACAGGAAATAAAGTCTCTTGTCAGCACCAGATGTGTGTTAAGCTCCAGAACACCTTTTGGTATGTTTGTGCTATTAAGTGGTGTCAAAACTTAACTGTAATTAAAAATTTGTTTTTAATTGTGTACATTTGTGTGTATTGGTTTACTGCTGAAGATGAAGACGTATCTGTGGCACTTGCCAGTAAGACTTCAGCCAAATCTAGAATTCCTGCATGCAGAATTACCGTCTTCAAAATCTTAGATGGTAATCACTATCAAAAGAAAAATGCACCTGTGCATACTTGTGCAGTATGCTATCCAGTTGGCTGGTTGACTCAACAGCAGATGTCACCTGACAGAGCTTACCAGTATCTTATCACTTTCCCACTGATTTGTTTGATAGTTAAACCTCTTCAAGGAGCCAAGTAAAATTGATTTGTCTTTAGTTTGTAACTTGATAGACCAAACTGAAAGCTATCTATGCCTGAGATGCAAGAAGGACAACTGAAAATGGAAGAGAAATACTACTGAAGATTTAATTGATGTAATTGAAATATAAGGAAAATATAGTCCTGTACAAGTTTTCAATAATAACATTCATGAATATTTCAGAATACATTGTTCTGAGATTCAGTCTAACTTCAATATTTGAAACTCTTCTTTTGTTTAGAAGAAGCAATTACAAAGGATAATGTGGAGAATGCAGCATTAGAAGAACCGGAGGAGGCTGCAGAGCTTTCCGCAGATGATGCGGAAGAGACTGCAGATGTAAAAGATCTCTCAGATGGAGAAGATGCAGCAAATTCAAGTGCTGATGACTCAGAGGAGGATTTAGCACTTGGAAAAGAATCAGGGGAAGAAGAAATGGAAGACTTAAGTGAACAGCCTTTAGCTGATTCAGAGACTGAAAGCTCAGTAAGACAGCGTAAAAGTCAGGTGGCTGATAATGGACTATAGCTGTTTTGGTGGTGTACTTTGTACACTTGGACCAAAGAAGTATCAGACCCTGCGTCTGAAGCTGAATCGTACACTTGATTTGTCATTTGTGTTTACACAAAACCTCTGCTCTGTCAGCAGGCTTCTCTTTTTTAAGCTAATACTTGCTCATTGGGTTTGTTTTATAAGCACATATGCTGTGTATTGTGTAACTTTAGCCATGACAATCAAAATAAGTATATCATATCTGTTTGAAGTCTTCTAAGAGAAAAGAGGTGTTACGGAGTCTCAGTTCACCAGCTATAAAATGGTCATCTATGCTGTGTTCCTTTGTAAGTATTGCCCTAAGCAAGATCAGGACTTCTAACTCCTTATAGCAGCTTGGCAGGACTGTTACTTTTCTGTCTCAATGTTTGTTGTTTTCAAATGCCACAGAAGCACCAGATAAGCGATACAGTAGTGAAAGAAGGCACCTTATTAGTCTTCTATTAAAAATGTTGTGTATGATGGGTTTATTTTTATCACTTTCAACTGAAGCACCTTTCTCTTTTTATTAATGTTTTTTTTTGAAAGTTTATCATACCGTATGCTGTGTGCCCCCAGATTTTTCAGGTTTTGGTAATTTGGAGGCATGTTGCACAGCTCAAGCTTGTCAGCTGAGTTTTTTTTAACCCAAGGAGTTTGAGTAATTGAAAACCTCAGGCTGAGAAAGTGGCAGCTAAATGTTTAAAATGTTTGAACTTTTAACAGGTTTATAGGAAATTTTTTTGGTTGGGGGGAAATTTTTGCCAAAGCATGATTTTTATTTTTTTTTTCCCCCTTCAAGAGATTGTAGCAAGAAGTATTCACTTTGCAGTAAGCTGTAGATTTCTTGCCAATACAAGCTTGTCATATGCAGTGCAGTTCTGCCATTTCCAACTCGGAATGCTTTTGGCAGAACTCAGACTACTTTAGTAATATTAACTGAAGAGGCACTTAAGGTTTTAGCTCTGATTGCTTTTCTACTTTTTGTCACTGGAATCGGCGCATGAGGAAAAGATAGGGGCAGGGGTGGGTAGTAGGGAGAAACTTTTGGGTTTGCTACTTTTATCAAGATAAATGTGTATCTATTGAACTGTGTAATGTGAAAATGGCTTGCTAGGTAGACAGCATCAGGTGTGGTTAGAAGACTTAAGTCACTAAAGATATCAGTATTTCCCTCCTTTGACTTGGTTAATAAGGCTTTTTTTGGTAAGGAATACCTACAGTGAGATACTGTATGTTCCTATTTTGTTGATGTGTGTTCATGTGCATAAGATGTGTTTTAATCTTGGTATTTTTTTTAATGTATATATTGCATAAACCTTGCTAACATGCATGAATTTCATCTTGTTCTTCAAGAATAAAGAGTAATCAGAGATGAAATCATCTCATTAGAAGAGACAAGCTGCAAGTGCAAAATGCTGGTTTCCTTTGAGACAGAGATTGCTAGGGCCAATTTGTGATGAAAGTTGGTTTTTTTCTTCTTCTTTTTTTTTTTTAATGCTCAGAAAGAGCATATTTACTAAAAAGCTTAACTTTTCCTGTCTGTGTCCTGTTGCATATTGCGTCTTGGAACTACATGGTAGAAACTTTTCATTTGTCTATTACAGCTGGGTAAAGAACAAAATTACACTGCATATATTGAAGATGAATTTTTTTAAGGAACGTTCTCAGTCTGGAGCTTGAATTCATGTAGTGGATACATGTAAATATGCTTTCACATATGTGAAAACATACAGTTGAGAATATATATACATTGCACTATAATAAGAACAGTTTGTCTTGTGTGTTATTTGGGCATTGCCCCATGTAACTTAGCAATTGTAGGAGCTTACAGACAGTGGAACTCAGTAGCAGTTGAGGTACATAGCAGCTTTTTAAAAAAACAAAAACACAAAAAACCCCACCCAACCAACCAAAAAACCCTAACCAAACTCAAGCTAAGTTTTTATTTGCAAAAATTAAGAAAACTCTGTGGCTGCTGTAGTCTCGAGGGAAGAACTGTGCACCTAAAAGCTCAGACTACAGAGTTGTTGTTTCCATGATGTATTTCCATTTTTCATTATCTGTGCATTAGGAGCTCATAAAAGTCTAAAATGAAAACAAGACTTTAACCGTATTTCTTGAGATGAGCAGGAGTCGCTGTGTATATTCAGTTACATGAACTTGCGTAAGATTAAAATAGACTTCCCTCCCGTCAGTCATGGATCCAAAACTACCAGACTTTAAAAATATGTGGGACTGTATCCAGCACAGATTGAGGGCAATGATGACTTTGGTTGTGTACCAAAGAGAGTATTTTATACTACATAGGGTCTTGTGATACTCAGTGTGTAGGAGGGAGCATGTTAATATTAAATTTTGATTCTGTTTCTCTTCACTTTTGTAATAAAATGGAGCCAGTCATCTAAAATCTTGTTTAGCTGTTTAAAGAGGTTTTAACTTTAAAAGATACAGAACATCCTTATACCTCACAGTGGCTTTGTTGTATGCCATTGGGAATATGAGGTATTAAAAAAAGTATTAAAAAGTCACGTTATCTCTTTCCAGTGCTCAAGGTGAGGTATTTGGGCTTTTTGAATATTTAGATAAATAAGACATTCTCATAAGAGCTAGATTTCATTAAGGTGTCTCTGAATTTAAAACACAAACAAAAAGACAAACCACAAGTGACACTTAATCCTACGAGATACAGGGTTTATGAGATGCTGTGAGAAAGCTCCTGTGTGTGGTGATTTTCTGAAGTATCTGCTTACGTTTCCTCTGTTTCTGTGTGTCACTCTTAAGTTTGGATTATTTAAAATGATGATATGAAGTATTTTCCGTTGTAATAGACCTAACTGTAAAATAACTCTGATGAGCAAGGATTATGTAAGCAGGCAGCAAGTGACAGTGGTTCATCCCTTCTTGTGAATCTGGAAATGAGCTATACTAGGCTTCTAAGGCTTCTTGAACATCATATGTATGTCATTGCTCCTGTGTTTTCATTAAAAAGTAGGGAATATTAATGCAAACTTGGGTTTCACTGTGTTTGTGTATTGGAGTATCTTATTACAAAGATGACTAAAAAATTGTGATTAAGAGTTTAGAAAAACAGGTGCTATGCAACCATTGTTGTCTCCAACTTAGTTTTACATTTTTAGGAAAAATATTGTAGCATGATACTCTAAATACTTAATTTTGACTAATGTCTGTCCAGCAAACAACAAGTAGCAAACACTATAAGGGCTAAATTTGTGTTTAACGGAAAGGCCACTAGCTATGCAGTAAAAGTGTAATGTTAATATACCTTCCAGAATTAGTTTTTCCCACTAAAACACATTTTAATTGAATCATGCAAGGATAGTACTAATTAGACTATTACAGTAGTATTAAACTTGGCGTGATTCTGTAAAAAAGTATCAACCTTTTGTGCAATCTGAGTGTTCTGTTGTCTCTGTCCTCTGTTATGATTAACTTTAAAAAATGGAACTTGTTCTTGCAGTCTCAGTATACCAAAATGTCTTTGGAGAAGCTGCTGCTAACGCTGTTCAAAATGTTTCGATTAAGGATAGGGCTGTAAGGCTCAAACTAGAGCTGTATATCAAAAATGACTTAAGATTTTTGAGAACCAATTTAAATTTCAAGCAGGATGCGTGCTGCTCCAAAAACTAGTCCCTTATGGATCTGAATGTGAATGCTTGAAAGCAAGTAGTTAAAAAAAAAAAAAAAATAATAATCCAATAATCCAGTGTGTACTTTTTAAAGAGGCTAGAAATACATACAGCTTTTCAAAGCTCCTGTCCTTGAGATTTGTGTGACACTGGTATGCGAGTCTTGGAATACTCTGTATATACTGCACCCGTGCTGGGCAACGCTTGTGATGTCGGCTTTCTTTGTGGAAATGTTATGCAGGATTGTCTTTTATATGAAAGTTTGCAAATTTACACTGTGGGTATTTTTACTGAAACTCCATATAAATTTTGTATTTATCATCTTCTTGTAGTTAGTTTTCATTTTCTCAGTGTGTAGATGGCTCATCTGTGTAATTAACAAAAGGTTGGGTTTTTTTTTTTAATACTGGTCTTCCAATTGATAATACAGGTTGTGACTTGTGAATATTCCTTAAACTCTTTAAAACCTAACCTGTACACTAATGAATTACTTCCTTGCTGCATGAGTGAAAAAAATGCTTGGAAGCACACCTACACTGAGGTTTTCATGGTAGTAACTGTGGGCTGAGCGGTATGCTCGCAAAGGTATAAAATGCAACTGGGACTCAAATGGAGGCTGCTGGGCAAAATGGTGCAACTCCGGGCCTCTGTGTTAGATCAGTTTTTCCCCCTCTTGCGAAATCCACTGTCTGACTCTCTGCAAATGATGTGCTAATTCATTAGGATTTGGAGGAGCAGTCTAGTTTCTCCCTACTGACTTGGCTGGGAAGCTTGGGGATCTAAATGGCACATCTTCTGAGTGTAGTTCTCAGCACGCAGTCATTGCTAAAGAGACAGGCCTTGGGGCCAAGCGTGCTGGGGGGAGAAAGTGCCTGCCAGGAACCATCGCTGCAATGTATTTGGAAGATGTGAACAACTACTGGATCCAGTACACAGGTTCATTCTTTTCAGGTGAGTTTCCTGACTTGCCTTTCTCGGAGCAGAGCCGCTGTATGGGTTGGGTGATTTGCCATTCACTTTGGTTTTCTTCTTTTCTGTGGCGTTGACTTCCTGATGTAAAGTTGAAGGGGGAATGCTATCAAATGCTGTTTAATCAGCTGCTCCTTGTTGTGTCTCATCATGTGAGAATATGAAATTTTCCCCATAAAAACGGGCAGGCAGAGTACTACAGGCAAAATCCAATCGGTTTGGGAAGTTACTTTGTTTAAGCAATCAGACAAACATAAGCTCTATTTTTACAGAGGAAATATGAAGACAATTCTCTGATGGCTGTACAGGAGCGGTATAAAAGCTTGAGTTTCTGCCTTGGAATTTTGAACTGGACCAGTGTTAACTCCCAGTTCTGGC